TCCCATGTTATTATTACCACTGTTGCACTGTCAATACATATTTTGCTTGATTTAAGACAAGTTTGACCATCACTTGAATAATATGAATAAATTCTGTGTGATATTATTCAACATCCATCATGCTGGCATAATTAGTGCAGAAAATCTAAAAGAGCTCCCCAGATTCACTCTAGGCTTGTTTCAATGAAATGATGAAAATATGCACTGTGTCACCTGTTGCCACAAGCAGGTGTCGCCAACTTTCATTTGCTCAACTCTAGCAGGTGTGCGCACACACTTTCATTGCATTCAGAACCGACCTGTGTTTTTTTTTTTTCTCCGATTGAGCGGCAGTGATGCACGATTCTGTGTAATTCGGCTTCGAAGTAATGGAGCGGAATGTGTGCGTGCGTGTATCCATGTCTGGCATAAATGGCCTAATGAAAAATGGAGAGCTCTGCTGAAATGTAATGACGCAGACTGGCATGAACAGAAGTGTCACAACAGCCTGCACTTTCTTTAAGAAAAATGTGCACAATGAAGAACAGGACGTAAACAACAAAAGAGTATACAGTTGAAGGCAAAAATTATTAATTATTTTTTTCCCAAATACACTTACTGGCCACTTTATTAGGTACACCTTACTAGTACCTGGTTGGCTTCAGAACTGCCTGAATCCTTCGTGGCATAGATTCAACAAGGTACTGGAAACATTCCACATAGATTTTGCTCCATATTGACATGTTAGCATCACATAGTTGCTGCAGATTTGTCGTCTGCACATCCATGATGCAAATCTCCTGTTTCATCACATCCCAGAGGTGCTTTATTGGATTGAGAGCTGGTGACTGTGGAGGCCATTTGAGTACAGTGAACTGTACGGAAAAACCTGTTTAAGAAACCAGTCTGAGATGATTCGTGCTTTATGACATGGCACATTATACTGCTGGAATAAGCTATCAGAAGATGAGTACACTGTGGTCATAAAGAGATTGACATTCTGTGTAAACCCTAAAGATGGTTGTGCATGAAAATCCCAGTAGATCAGCAGTTTCTGAAATACTCAGACCAGCCCGTCTGACACCAACAACCATGCCACGTTCCCTTAAATCACCTTTCTTCCCCATTCTGATGCTCAGTTTGAACTGCAGCAGATCCTCTTGTTTATGTCTACATGCCTAAATGCATTTGGCATGCAGAATTGCTGCCATGTGATTGACTGATTAGAAATTTGGTTAACAAGCAGTTGGAACCTAATAAAGTGGCCAGTGTGTTTATTTCCCAGAGCCAACTGTTGAACAGTAGTTCCTATAATATTCTTTTGTTCTTCTGGTAAAAAAAAAATGTTTTTTTTTTTTTTTTTGGGCTGGAATAAAAGCAATTTTTATTTCTTGATTTTTTTTTTTTTTTACATTTAATATTATTATCCCTCTTAATTTTTTTTTTTTTGATTGACTACAGAACAAACCACTGTTAACCAATGACCTTCAAGTTAACCTAATTAATCGAGTTAAGCATTTAAGTTGCACTTAATAAATAAGTGATATGAAAAAAGTTTTATAATAAAGTTCTAAAATAACTAGTAAAACATTATGTACTGTAATCATGGCAAACACAAAGTAAATACATTATTAAAACTTCTTTTCGAACATAACATAAATATTACTGACAAAAATAATTATTTGACAAAGAAAAAATTCAGTTTGTATTCATTTGAACTTATATACAGTATGTGGAAACATGTCCAATAAGCTCGATAAAAGTCCTTACGCTTGCCATTAGTGTTTTGGCATTTCTGATAATTCAATGTCTGAGCGTTACCTTAACTTATTGTTTGAGTAAACATAAAGTGCTCGTATTATAAGTAAACAAGGTTTTGCAACTCAAATAGGGTTCAGCTGTGGTTTTCTTTTTCTGTGAATGTATCTGACAGTGGAAGTATTCTTAAAATCATGTACAGTGGTAAAATTCAATCAAAGTTGAGATTGCTAGCGCACAATATAGTTGTTGACTCTAGCATGAAATGAAACTCTCCGCTTGTGCCCTTGTATGTTCTCCCAGTTTGAATAAAATATCACTCTCATTTCATTTTTTGGTAATCTTTTATGATGGTGGGTTTCATTGGATGCAGTCAACAGCAGATTTGACAGGACTGTTTTTCTTACAGTCCTTTAACAATGATGTGTTAACCTTGGGTTCATATAAATCTAGGTTTTACCGCACTGTGACGCTTGACAGTATCCTGCTTTAAATCTCTTTATAGTTATTAGTGGTGCTTGCTAAGACAAGCATCAGGATTATTATTGCTTTCACTTGAGGTTAGACATTTTTTTCAAACCCATAACCCACAGTATTAAAATTCAGTCATTTGTCCTGCACCATTTAAGATCCAGATATAAACGATTTCTCAAACTGTGTGGGTTGCTGAGGAGAGATGTGCTCTTACATTTCAGACTTATCAACTGAAAAGGTAGATAATAAACTGGGAAATAAATTCCCACGAGGGAATGAATAATTTCTCAGTTGCAGATCATTAAAATACTGTTACGAATTGTCAGACTCTTGTTGCTTTTGCCATTTGTTTGGAAATCAGAATCCAATTATAAAATAAACATTAGTTTAGTTATATACATAAGGATTGGATATATCATATAGTATGTATCATATATTATACAGTTGAAGTCAAAATTATTGGCTTTTTCAATTTTTTTGCAAATGATGTTAAACAGAGCAAGGACTTTTTCCACAGTGTTTCCTATTCATTTTCTTTTTTATTCTACAGAAATGTGTTTTGTTTTGGCTAGAACAAGGGTGCCCAAACTTTTTTCTTATAAAGAGACAAAAACCAAAGTTGATTGAAGGTGGTGGGCCAAAGTTAAATAAACCAAAGTATTACATTTAAAGTTGCCATGGTAACTTCCTAATTTATTAATATTTTTAAAAATACTTTAATAGGACTGTGCAATTATTAACGATTATTGCATCATATACTGCCCCCTTTCCAGTTGTACACATTTGTTGTTCTTAAAAGCGCGAAAGACCGCGTGCTTATGTGTGTGTGCGGCACACACACAGTCAGAAGCATGCGGCCGGTCAGCATTCGGTCTCATTCGCACACTGAGACGAGCAGAGGAGCGCAGACATCTAAAGTCATCTTAACGTGAGCGCTTTAATGGTCAAATAGGTGTCAAAACGCGGTGTTTTGTGATTATTCTTATTAACCCTCATTTGTGAAATAAACAAACGAGTTGAGAATCAAAAGACACGTAAAAGAGAAACCATTAAAGTGTCGCCTGTTTTTATCATTGATCAAACAAAACGAGAGAATCCCTCACTGCTCTTGACAGAGGAATTTTTGTAGCTAAAGGGTTTTTCTTAGAGGGAAGTTGCTTAAAGCACAGTTTTTTCATATTTTTATTTTATTGTATTTATTTCTGTTTCCTTTGCAGGGTGAAAAATGACTAGATATATGCAGTATGATTATTAGCCCTCCTGAATATTAGCAACCTTTTTCCTGCCCGATTTCTGTTTAATGGAAATAATTTTTTTAAACTTATTTCTGAACATAATAGCTTTGATATTTCATTTCTAATTACTGATTTCTTTTATCTTTGACATGATGACAGCACATAATATTTTACTAGATATTTTTCAAAATACAAGCATTCAGATTAAAGTGCAATTTAAAGGCTTAATTAGAGTAATTAGGCAAGTTATTGTATAAGAGTAGTTTCTTCTGCAGACAATCAAAAATATATTGCTTAAGGGGGCTAATAATATTGACCTTAAAATGGGTTTCAAAATAAACCTGCTTTTATTCTAGCTAAAATAAAACAAAAGCCTAGAATATTTTTTTAGGAAATACTGTTAAAATTCCTTCATCTTTTAAACATAATTTGGGAAATATTTATTTTAAAAATTCTCTGGAGCGCTAATAATTTTAACTTCAATTGATAACCGTTTTGAATAATCGTGATTACAATTATTACCAAAATAATCGTGATTATTATTTTTCCCAAAATCGAGCAGCCCTATACTGTTATTATATTAATAATTATATATATGTTTACATTTTATAATGAACTTAAAATAAAAACAAGCAATCCACTTTATGACACAGTGGTGTTTGATGCTGAATACACTGAATACACTTGATTTGCTCATCAAAGATCATTTCATTTTTTTTATAAATCTGATTCGTGCACAACATTTATTGAAACGTTTCATTTGATTTGCTTTTTTGTTTCTCAACAATTAAACAAACAAACAAAAGGTTATGTTAAAAACAGAAATGACGAGCTCTGCTTAGGGCATTGGCCTTAACCTTCCTATCATTCTTCCTCTCTTTCTTCTCAGATGGGATGGCGGGCCAAATCAAAGGTTTCCATTGGCCAACTTTTGGTCCTAGTTTGGGCATCTCCAGGCTAGAATAAAAGCAAAAATATATATACAGTATATTTTTTAAATCTGCTGAACAAACCATCGCTATATAATGACTTGCGCAATTATCCGCACTTGCCTAAATAACATTATTAACCTAGTTAGGTCTTTAGCTTTTAATTTTCTCTTTGAGCTGAATATTATTATCTTGGCAAAGATAAAAGAAATCAGTTACTAGAAATTTGTTATTAAAACCATTATGTTTAGAAATGTACTGAAACAATCTTCACTCTTAAACAGAAATTTAGTACAAAAATATACATGGCTAATAATTCAAGAGGGTTGATAATTCCTACTTCAACTGTATATACACACCTCTACACACACACAAAAAATAATAATAAAATACTACACAAAAAAAATGATTGAAAAAAAAAACAACTTTGCACAAAGTAAAGTAAATTTATAAAATAGATTAAAAGTGACATTAAAAACAATTTCGAAAAGCAATAAATAAATACAATATAATTAATTATTACATAATACTAAGCAAATGGCACACACCGGCTTTTGTTGTGTGGTATATGCGTGTAAGGACCAACAATTATCATGACTCCTCTTCCTTTCTTCTTTCTGTGTAGTGAATGCCATGTTGTCTGTGATGGAGGGCACTCAGCTGATCTACTCCATACAGCCACATCTAGCTCTCACTACTATCATGCACCTTCTCCCACCCAATGTTCTAGTGTCTGGACATGAGAAAATCCCTGGTGTGGTGTCACCAACGGACACAGATACAGGTATGTTTACCCTTAATGCTTCCTCTATATTGGAGTGAATGTTTAAGATTTTATTAAGTAACTTGTATGAAACGTTTTACCAGTTTTATTTGATTTATTTATTTGTTATTTTTTAAATGAATGGATCATTGTTTTGCGTAAACATATTAGCAAGTGTCACATGCTGCGTCCCAGTTTGCCTACATATACTACATCTTAACAGTATGTACTTTTTTGTGAAGAAAGTACATACTTTTGAGTGTGTAGACGAAGATTATGCAAGCTTTGGGACAAACTGCTTCCTCATTAACGGACTGTTGCTTAGTAACATGCCCTGTCAGTCATCTTGTCACATCCTCAGCATTTCTTTCACATTTAATAACCTACCATATTGCAGGAGCAGCAGCAGGTTAATCTGCCATTCGTGGGTCTTAATGCAGAGAAATCTCCTCAGGTGTTTGTAGAATTATGCATTCAGAAGTTGACGACTATATATAAATTTACAACATTGTTACAGATGAAATCCTAATGAGGAAAATATGGTTCAAGTATTTTGTAGTAGGTTAGGTTCTAATTAACAGTCATTCGAACTTCCTTACCAAAGCCTCTCTACTCAATGGGGGGTCACATGCCATCACCATGTTTGTAGTTTGTTGCACTTTTTACCTGCATTGTAGTTCCAATCGAATTCATGTCAAACACGCAACGTTTAGCCTTTAGAGCATAGGTCTCATATTGGATTCCTGGAGAGCCGCAGCTCTGCACAGTTTTGCTCCAACCCTACTCAAATACAGCTGATTTAACTAATTAAGGTGTTCAAGACAAAGAGACTATTAAGCAGGTGTTAGTTTGAGGTGGATGGAGATAAATTGTGCAGAGCTGTGACCCTCCAGGAATTGAGTTTAAGACCAATGCATATTGATGGTTCTGCACTTTTAGGGTGCTTTCACACCTGCATTTTTAAATTCAGTCGAATCATACTAGAGTTCGTTTTCCCTCTTGTGACGGTTTGTTTGGGTAGGTGTGAATGCAGCAATCATACTTGAGTGCGCACCAAAAGTGGACAAAAAAAAAAGCGTACCGAGACCTGCCTGAAGAGGTGGTCTCAGTACGTTCTCAAAGGAACCCTGGGGAGGTTAATTTGTGGTGAGAATATGATCCGCACTAAAACAGGCCCAACTGCAAAAAGCACTGCATCTTTTGAATTAATCTAGCTGCCGTAGGCTGATGCGCTGTGCATAATGGAATATGGAGGAAAAATATTTATTGACAGCGCTTTACCAGAAACAGAAAAAGAGAGAGGGAAAAACATTACCTGATGGATCGTTGGCAATATTTCTGCCAGATGACCATGTCGCAGTTTAGCTAAATTAATTAACGCCTCCACCTGAGGTGACTTGCGATGCATTCAAACATTGTTTTCCAGCCGCAGCCACGCTTCATTCTCGAAAGTTTGTCTAAAGTAATGTATGAAAACTTTATAGTATACTATGAGCAGGGATACAGTCAGTCAGCGCAGTCGTCCCTCCATAGTAAAAAGCAACATTTTGTGTCTGCCAGTTTGTTTACTTCATTTATTTCCCGCACGTGAATTCTGACCAATCGATAAGTAGTGTAGGAATTATGTTTAACAACATTTGGCCTATAAGAGATGTGGATTTTGTCAGATGAGTGCCTTTTGGTTCTTTTCATCTGGTTGCGACAATGCTAACCACAGAGCCACCGAGCCACCTACGATTTTTTGTGGACATACTTATTCTATTTTCAATTTCTTTTTAAGATGGATAGTATGCAAAGTTGGATGCAGCAACAGTTAGAGTTTGTTACAGACAACAATTATTAGAAAGAATGACACAAGCACATGATGGCACACTGTATTAAACAGTCAACTGTGATGCGCTATTTGAAGTACCATGGAACTATCGCTAGTCCTAAGCTGTTATTCTCACCGAATGTGCTTTTACATAGAAAAAAAGAGAAAGAAATGAGCCGGCGGGTGGAAAAACACCACAAGGTTAAGACATAAATGTGTTGAGTAGGGTTGTAACGGTATGAATTTTTTACGGTATGATAATCGTCTAAAACAATACCACGGTTTGACGGTTTCGCGGTATACGGTATTAAATATTAATTCTCATAGCAAAGACCCTGAAAAGAATAAGAACACGTTTTCTGACTGAACAAAGGTTTTATTTCAACAAACTTTTGAAAGAACCATTTTAATAGAACTATAGAAGTCTTTTATAAAAATAAACTGAAAAATCTCCCATTTTAATCAATTAAATTAGAAGGAATAAACAAGCAAGGTCTTTTAAGATTAGACAAAAATAAACTTAAACTGTCCTTCCTTATAAGCAGGATAAATGGGAGACCAAAAGTGCAATACCAAGTTTATGGCTGTAAACATGTATTTAAAGCGTTGTTTTTTTCAGTCTAGGTTGTGATGAAGAAATGTAAGCATGTTGAGATTTTCAGGACTTAATCTTGACCGCTGAGGTGAGAGAATGTGTCCACTTGTACAATGAACAAATAAAAAAATAAGGAAATAATAAATAATGTGTCAAAGTCCAAATAAACATGGTGCAAATCCTCAGTAAAAAATAGATATAAATATTTACTATACTATAAATAGTTACATAACGAAACTAGATTCAATATGGAACATCCTTAGGTTTTATGTGCCAGCATGGATATGGTTGTCTGTGGATATGGATTTGGATGTGGTTGTATGCAATGCAGACAAACAGCTGCACCTTCATTTGCGTCTTTTGAAAACAGCAAGAGCAGCAGTTCGTCTTTGCTGTGTCACTGTTTTGTCATGTTTCTGTGCTGCTGTGCATGCAAAAGTACTTAGTATGACAATTATTTCATGCAAAACTTTTTTTTTTGCGTTTTATTTAGCCGCGCATAAATGTATGCCTTTCTCTCATTCCGTGTTGTTCAAAAAGCTCATTGTTGGTCCACAAACAAAAGTGAAACCTATGCTTATTGGTTGTGATATAGCGAGTTTGAACCAATCTGGGCATGGAGGAGGGACAATGCATCAATGTATCATGTCTGGTTTGTCCGGAGACACAGTGACGAGCGTTTCTTTGTCAAATCAGTGTTGTCAAATTTTGATGACGTAACCGCACTGATTCCGGAGCCTCTGAAAGTCCGCGAATGTTATGTGATAAAGCACTGGAAAGCTGAGATTCTCTTCTTTATGCCAATCTTTGAATTGTATGAATCGGATCAACGGAATAAAAGTTATTAAACATTTAAGAGCAATACTTAATTTTAGCCGCGGGCGGCTGTCTCGGTCTTTAAGGGTTAAAACCGTTGATATGCAATTGTTCATGGTATGATAATCGTGCACGTTCAAATCGTGGTAAACCGTCATACCGGTATATTGGTACAACCCTAGTGTTGAGCTTCTTTTAACTTGAGCACAGCATTTTTACAATGCCATTTCATGCAAAACACAAAGCAACATTTTATGATAAGTATATCATGGCATTGAATCATATTCTGTTTCTGGAATGTTCATAGCCACCAGTGTTGCTAATAACAAGGGTTTCTGAATTCTACATATTACAGATGGAAAACAATGTTACTTGAATCATTTTGTAGTGCACTTGTTAAACTTAAAAAAAATGTAACTGGCCAAATGCTCTGAAATTGATTGCTTTTGTTCGCTGTATCACCCCGCTCTGTTTCTTAGATGATATTTACTGCTAAAGGAAATGCTTTAATGTGCTAGATATTCACCACAGTTCTAAAACAATCAAATGCCATTTGATGACTCCTCGTCTGTAACGAGAGAATGTGTGTTGCCATGGCGACAGCAGTATGAACTCTAGGAGGACTTTCCCTTGATTCTCTTCAGGATCACTTGGTGCCAAACCAGGTCATCAGTCACATCTTGAAGAAAAAGCAACTTTTCCGATTCGAAACACTGTGTTCAGAACTCATCTTTTGTTCTTAGCTGATTTCAGGGGTGGTTAAAGACCGCTATGAATGAGCCATGCTGGGTTTCATATTGCAGAGGAGATTGGAAGTCAAGCGCAATTTTGAGCAAATCCTCTATCACTCTCAGATATCTCTACTATCTTTGGCACTCATGGCAAATACAGTATGAACAAAGAAGACTGTTTAACCTTTTGCTCAAATTATAAAAAAAAACTGGCAGATTTTTATTTTTATTTTAGATGAGAGTAGAGCGTTTTTACCTTACCTTAAATCCCTTTTACACAATTTGTGGTGATGTAGTTGACATTGGATTGTAGTTTTGGAGGTTTTCTGATGCCAAGACCAAACTAACTTCTCTAGCGGTGATTCTTATAAGATATTTTGGCAATTTAAACCATCCTCCTAATAATGCATTGGGACAAAACAGACACACATCTTCTTCCAGGCCAAATCATAACACTTCCAGTCGATTTTATCATTTTTGCCATGATGGTGGAAATGTTAATTTTCAGTGTATTGGTTATTTTCTTATTTCCACTTTCCATTTTGCAAAGCACAAAAGCACAACATCATTGCTCTTAATCAAATCTTTGTTCATTGTTTTTATCCATTGTGAATTTGTCCTGTTGGTTTTCCTCATTTGTAAAATCCTGTGAAACAACAGATCACGGCTGAACATTTTACTTTTCATTATCACCCTGTAAAAAGCAGTCAGGATTTTAATGGGAAAAAAAAATTAAAATGTAGTAAAATAACTGGTTATAATTATAAGTTTCCTTAAATTATATGGTAAATAGCCTCAAATGGACTTTTCCAGAATTCGGTGCTTCGTTACATATGACATTACTATGGTCAAAGACTCTAGAATACACAAGACATGTCACTCGTAATAGTTCTGAATGGGGAAAAATGTAGCAGATAGCAACTACATCACTGGATAGCAAGTACTCAATAAATAAATAAATAAATAATATTTTATTTATATATATATTATAAATTTATAAATATATATATATATAATTTTTTTAATTGTCTTTGCTCATATTTACCATGGGTGCCAATATTAGTGG